CTGGGCTCTCGGCTGGTGAAATGCACGGTAGCCTGGCGGGCACATTTCAACAAGGGGCACCCCCCCTCTTGGCCCAGCCAGGTCTCCGTAATATCCGCCAGGTCCACCTCCCCCTCCGATACCAAATCATAAATGAGGGGGGCTTTATTAACCGTGGACCTGGCGTTACACAGCATCAGCCGAAAGCCCAGGCCCTGAGATCCTAAACCCCCTAGGTTGCAAGAAGAGCCATCTTGCCAAGAGTATGACTGTCCCAACAACCCAGGACAGCTTTGGACTGTGGCCTGACTTGATCCCACAGTGGGGAAGGGCCAGACCGCCTCGGTGCTTCTTCCACGCTCCTAAGCTCAGAGGCTTTCACCAGGGCTTCTGACCTGGGCAAGGCCCTGCAGGAAGGGAATGAGCAAAGAGCTGGCAAGTAGGTTGACAGGCGTGTCCTCTGAAAGTTCAGGGCAACAAACCACCTTTTAGCCAGGTATTCCCCTGGGCAAACCTGGGCCAAAGTGAGCAAGAAAGAGAGGCAGTTTCTGATCCGTCGTGTGGCAGTCGCTATGGAGACCATGAGGCTGCCTTTTGCAGAACAGGAACCCATCAGATGCACAGCAGCAGATGATGGACTCTCATACAAGCAATGGTTTGTTTGTGCTGGAGAGAACAAAGTGTCCCAGGCCTTGGCGCATTGTCACATGCAGCCAGGACCACGCAACAAAGGCCCAATTCTCCTGACTGCACACGTGGTGAGTGGTGTCCGTCCTCCCTTGCCCCCTTTGCAAGGGACCCTAACCCAATGAACACACTTGGTATTCCTTATAGCTTTAACTCATCTGGAGCAGCGAAGGTAGCCATGATCTTTAGGCCCAGGAATTTTGACACATTTCCTGCTGGAGCCCAGCCAGGGAGGATGCAGCCTGGTCCAGAGGGCCATTGGGAGCCTTGAGTTGGATGGGCACCATTTTATCAGCCCTCTTTCTCCTGCTGGCCACTGTCAGCCCTTTGAGGGAGTTCGGACAAGGAACCAAACCATGAATTTTATCGCTACCTTTATTGGATGGTTAAAATACGCTGAATTTTGCAAGTCTGAAAGCTTCTCTCCCCCACTTGCCTTTACTTCCCAGGAACCAGGGGGGGGGGAGTTTTCTTCTGGGACCTCCCCACGCCCATTCGTCCCTGCCGACAAATAGTTGATCGTTTCAAATGCTGCCTTGTGCAGCGTGGCGATCGCCATTCCTCCTCCCCCCCCTTTTTTTGTTTTTCTTTGGGCTCAGCTCCTAATTTCGTCTCCTTGCCCAAAGCCTTCTTTCCTTCTCTGTTTTCTGCCTGCTTTCCTTGAATCGAAGTCACTCTCCAGGTTTCTTTTTCCCTCAGGGGAATATTTAAAAAAAAAAAAAAAAAGTTTCATTTCACCGGATCGGCGCGGCTGCCATTTTGGAGGCCTCCGCACGATCGCAACTTAAAATTAGACAAAATCTTCATTGCTGGACGAGGGGCTTCCTCTCTCTATACTCAAACTTAGAGAGTCTGACTTACGGGAGCATAGGGGCTCCTATTTCTCTCTGTCAGAAGCAAATAGCTTATTTATAGCTTCGGATCGTCGCGGCCGCCATTTTGGGCCTCTGCGCGATCACACTATTTACTAATTGTTCAATTGCCAACCAACTTGTTTAATTGTACAAGGGCATCCTCCTCCACTGATCATTTGAGAGAGAGACAACTTCACGAGGGGGTATAGGGGATCTTATTCCCCCCTATTGGATCAGGCCCTTTGGCTTCTTGCCTTTCCCCCCCCCCCCACCTCTGGGCAGACGCCATTTTGATCAGCCTCGTGGCTGACAGGGAGAGTTCCTTGAGGCATACCTCCTTCAGAGAACTTTACTAAGCTGACTGTTCCCCGGCTGCAGCTCCCCCTCATCCTACCTCCCAAGGATATTCCCACAAACGGTTGCATCTCCAGTTGCCCCTGTATTTCAACTTGGGCTGCCTGGTTATGTGGATCAGCCAGATGTTTCCCAGGAGCATCTTTTTGGCCACTACTAGAAACCAGATTTTGGGTTAAGACAGGTTTTGGCTGGAGTCAGCTTAGATGATCCCCTACTGTTACCTGGCCAGGGGGGCAGAGGGGTGGACCGAGGGGATCAGGAGGAGGGAGAAACACCCCCACCCCCAGAAGAGAAGCAACCTGTTGCTGACCTCCAGAGGCTCGGGAGGGCCACTGCCTTCCCATCAGGCCTCTTCCTTGGAATCCCCCGGCTGGCTGAGCCTTTGAGCCTCTTCTGCTTCTCAGCTCCTCTTGACAACCACACAGAGGTAGAATAGAATAACAGAACTGGAAGGGACCTTTTGTGTCATCTAGTCCAACCCTCCGCCCAAGCAGGAGTCCCTACACCATTTCTGACAGATGGCCGCCAGTCTCTTCTTGAAAGCCTCCAGTGATGAAGCACCAACAACATCTGGAGGCAGCTTCTATTTCATTGGTTGATTGTTCTCACTGTATTTTCCATTCGGTGAAGTTTAAATGGAGTTTGGGTCTGTATTTACAACATTTGTGGAAGAACAGCATTAAAATATATATATATAGAGAGAGAAAAAATGAGAAGATTGCTATGGAACTATGCTTAAAATTCATGCATAGATCCAAGTATATCATAGAAGCTTTCTTGAGATCGGAGAGAAAAAGGTTCTTGACTTTGCTTTCTCACTCACAGATTTTGAAGCTCCTGGCAACTGGCCACCGAAACAGGAGGAATAAGAAAAAGCCAGCAGTCCCGGCTGCACCAAGAGGGGTGTTGGGTCCACATTAGAGGAGGTGAACCTTCCACTGGACCTCCAGGGGTTCAAATCACCCTTGGAACCGTGCATCATTTTGAGCACCAGGCATTAAGAGGGGCAGGGAGAAGCTCTCATGAAGAGACCCCCCCCCAAGGAGCACAAAAATAATGGAAAGCGAGCCCCGGAAGGGGGCTCTGAGTGGGTGGGGGCAGACTTGGTTTGCAAAAGGGGGGGAGAGAGAGGAGAGCAGTCTGCAAACCTCTAAAGGGGGTTTCTCTGAGTGGGGGAGCAGGAGAAAGCCCCAAAGGCTGATTTTTAAATTCCCACCCAAATGATGGACATGAGTTGGCCTGGAGAGGTGCCAGATTCTGCTACATGAGGTGCCTGAATGCTGAGGCTCAAGGAGCATAGCTCCTGTAGTTGGGAGCATAAAGTACCTTGGAGCTGGTGCATCATGGGAACATCTCTGGGGCTTTCACCATCCCTGCAGTGGTCCTTGGTCTTGTAGATCCCCAACCTGGCACCAGAAGGGTGTTGATGGCTTGTCTGAATCACTCTTCCATAAAGGCAGGCTTGTTTGCTTGGCCAAACAATGGTGAGCTGTTTCCTCTCCTTTGTTCTCACGCATTCTTGGAGCAAAGCCGTGTGGTGCTGGGGGTGCAAGCGACAGAACGCAGAGAGAGACGCCAAGGGTGGCTCCCTACAGGACGAGCAAGAGCAGAAGGATGCTGGTGTGAGAAGACCCTGCTTTTCTCAGACTCTGAGTCCCAATCGGTCCTGATGTGGCCAGTAGCCCTTCCTCAGAGGCGCCGGGAGATCTCTCTTCCTGCACAAGGATTTGGGCAGGTCCCTGAGGCTGGATTCAGAAGAAGAACGATGGCTGGGCCACTTTAAAGTGACCAGTTTCTGTTTTTGGCTGGGGATTTGTAGATGAACCGCACCAGGTACAGCTCTTATTTATTTGTTTATTACATTTATATGCTACCCATTTCACTATCCAAAATGATTCTGGTTGGCTTGCAAAGGCATAAATGTAAAACATTAAAATTAACAGCATTAAATACAGACTAGAAATTGTGAGCTCGTCCCCTCAGATCTCATCAAAAAGTTGCTCGGAAAATCATGTGTAAAAATAATTTTGAGTTAGTAGAGCAAAGCAAAAGCATCCAGAATTTATTTGGCATATTTTTGTTTCCAAAGGAAGTTTGCGGAAGTGGAAGTGAGAACAAAGAGGGTCAACCTGAGAAGAGTTCAGCAAATATTGGGGTGGGGGGAGAGGTGAGTCCTTGCCTTGGGGCCTCTGGCTCCCATTTCATCCTCATCTTCCATCCCCTCCCCTGCGCATGAGCACCCCAAGAGCTCTGCTGCTCCTCTGTGGGGGAGGAAGGACGCTGACCAAACTAGAAGGGGGTGGCAGCATGAAATAAAAACTGCCTGGCGATCCCAGAGATTCAGAAACAGGGACGTCCATCGTCTCCATCTTTAACTGGCATTCTGGCAAGAAACAGGCGGCTGGGCAACGGCTGACCAAGCTTAATTCTTCTTGGTTTTCATTCTTCAAAGGCACAGAAGAAGCTCCACTTTTGGAGCAGGTCATTCTTCTCTGTCAATGAGGAAACAATCTTTTGTTGATTGACAGAGTCCTCTTTGACCAAAGAGGTTATTTTGGGTACATTTCTCTCATAGGGCAGATAATATAAGCGACGGTGGACTTTAAGGTGTGCACTGACTGCAAGGTTCAGTTTGGATCCCACGTTTGCAGATCATCTTGATCCTGTTCATGTTTATCCCCTTTTTTTTTTCTGTTAGCCCAAACTCACCCAAAGGATGAAGGAGCCCCGCTAAGATTGTCCTCTGCATGGAGCAAAACTGCTGCTCCAGTTTTCATTTCCGCCCAAGTCACCCCTCGTTCAGGGCAAGGGCGAGGGGGCAAGAGCCACCCTTGAATTTGTCTGGGTCTTGGGGTTTGTCTCTGCCAGCCCTGATGGAAGCATCCCTCTCAGGGTGCCCAGAAGGCGTCCACCGAGGGGAGCCCCATCTTTTCAGGGGGTTGTCCTCTCTTGCTTGGAGGGTTCCGGAAGGCCGTCCTTCTCCCAGTCAGTCTCGGGTGGCTGAGACAGTCCGGCCCTTTCCTGGTGGGTGTTGGTGAGGTGCTACTGTGCCTCAGTGGCCCCTAGGGTGACAGGGCACCCCTCCTTTTGCAGGCACGTCAGGCACCTGCTGCTGCTCAAGGCATGCCTCTGCTGCTGCTCCTGGCTTCCCTGTGTCTGTCTTCTGCTCCCGGAGTCCCTGCCATCTACCAGAGACCAAGTGAGACTCAGCCAGGTACGCCGTGAACGCCCATCCTTGGCCAAGCTTCTCCCGGGGGTGCCTGCCTGCAGCACCCTTGCTGTTGTTCACACCCTCCTGGCTGCCCCTGAGATGGGAAAGACCCATCCCTGCTTGCAATGTTGCTGCAGCCCATCATTCCCCTGAAGCCCATTGTTCCTCTTTCCATTCCCAGCTTGTGCTGGTGTAAGGACCGTTTCCCCAGCATTGCCCAACAGTTTGTGGCAGTTGCAAAGATTCCTGCCTTGTTCACTGTCAGGGCAAACTTAATTAGATGGATCAATTTGCGAGCAAAGGGAGCTTCCCCTCCTTGCTGTTGGGCTCGGAGCCTTGCAGCCGTAATCAGCAGCTGTTTCTTCCTTCCACAGCAACTCCTCCCCCCCTCCAGTACTTGCTGGAGCCCACAAACAAGGTAGTGCAGGCCCGGCGGGGAGCCTCAGTCACCCTGCCTTGCATCCTGTGGGTCGTGCCCCAAAACTACAAGATCCGATGGAGCAAGGTGGAGCCAACTGAGTACCTGGAAGTTGCCATCTTGATCAGCAACGGGGTCCATCACAAAACCTATGGCCCACTGGGCAGCCGGGCTCACCTGAAACGCAGCCACCGGTTCGATGCATCGCTGACCATCTCCAACCTAACTTTGGACGATGAGGGCCGCTATCGCTGCCAGCTTGTCAATGGCCTGGAGGACGAAAGCGTCTCTCTTGTCTTGCAGTTAGAAGGTAGGAGGGGCTCCCAGGCGAGGCAGAGGGTTCCCTCCCCCCCCATTGTGTCTCATCCATCTAGGTCAGTGGTTCTCAACCTTTTTAATGCCGCGACCCCAACCGGTTGTAAGTCCAGGACTAAACCAGTCATAAGTCGAGGACTAAACCGGTCGTAAGTCGAGGACTACCCAACCGGTCGTAAGTCGAGGACTTTCCCTGCCTGGGAGCGCCGCGCATGCGTGGTTCCGCCCCCTGCACCGGCCGAGGCGTAGTTGGCAAGCGGCAGAGACAGAGCAGGCCGACCACCAGCTGGCCCAGCCCAAGGGAGGTAAGGCACCCGCCGGAAAAGGGGAAAAAAATGGCGGACAAAAAAAATGGCGAACAAAAAAAATGGCAGACAGCCTTGCTTAGCGACCCCCGTGAAATGGTTGATCGACCCCAAATGGGGTCCCAACCCACAGGTTGAGAACCACTGATCTAGGTAAGCAGAGGGAAGGAGCCTCGTGCCTTTTAGTAGAGGTCACAACAGGAGGAGGGAAAGCATTGTGCCACGTTTACCGTCCCTTGAGCAGGGCGACCGTCCGTGGAACAGCCTTTGTGCCTCCTCTGAAAGATGGGATCATTAAAAGGGGACCCTGCCTTGTGGGAGGGAAAAGGGTTTCCAGGCCAGGTAAAGGTTCCCTGTCACTGTGGGTGCAAACTGGACAAGCCGCAGACCCTTAACTGGGACGGCCCTTGCCTTTTACGGTGAGGATTGAGCGTGTCTCTGGGTGGGCTGCCCAGCCTCTGCCCATTGCCCCTCCACTTCTTGTCCTTTTGCTCCAGGTGTCGTTTTCCCCTACCAAACCAGCCGGGGGCGCTATCAGTTCAACTACTTTGAAGCCAAGAAGGCTTGCCAAGAACAGGATGCCAGGCTGGCCACCTACGAGCAGCTTTACCAAGGTAGCCAGTTTGGGCTGTGGGCAGGAAATGGTGGGAGACTCAGGGGGTTCTTCTTTCATTCTACTTTTATTCCCACTCATTAAAAACTCACAGCAAAAATCTATTTATGTGGGGGCTAAGAGTCGACACCAACTTGATGGCACATAATCAGTCAATCAATTACCCTGCCCCCCCCAAAAGCCCTTCCAAGGCAAAACTCAAAGGTGATGCTCAAAGGTGTCATCTGGAAGATGATAAAGCAGTAAAAAATAACTGATCAAGTTTCCGAACCAAACATAAGTGTGCTTGTAATCATTTACCTTCCCATCATAATTCATAGTTTCATACTTCAGTGAATTTTTACCATAGCAAATAAGTTTTCATTAATTGGAACCATGCTAATATAGGATATTATTGCTTTGACATAAGTATTGTAAGGATCCTTGGAGATCTATTTCAGCCTCCTGCCCAGTACAGAAAAGTACCACTACAGCATCCCCAGTGTTGACCCGGAATTAAGAGACAGCATAGGAAGTATCAGTTGTGAATTTGTGCAGATGGGCCTGCTGACTTTGGGCCCTTGCAGAGTCATGGATGCAGGTCATGAAAGGACAGCAAGGAAAACACCCCATGTCCTAACCCACCCGGGAACGTACGACGTCTTTAGGGAAACACCCAAAAGGGAACATTTTTAGCTACTTCTGCTTTCTCCCTTCTTAGCTACAGTGTGCCAGACTTACTGGGTGAAATCTCGATCTTATGTGTGTCAGCTTTGCCGGGTGGATTGGTTATGTAATCAGAAGGAATAAATGCAAGGATTTCTTGTCATTCAGGGCTTCTCTCTTTTAGAGGAGCCCGTCTTTGTTCAGCTGAATAAAAACGTAAAGCTTAAAGGCAACTTCTGGTTTCCTGTATTTTTTTTTTATCAAGCAAAACCTCAGAACCTGCACAGCGTTTTTGGTGGGCCAGGCTTCCAGGAGAGGTGCTTGGTTGGTCCTAGGGAGGCTCAGGAAAGGGGAAGGCACCAAGTGCGCTCCAGGATTTCCTGGAGGTGCCCCCCCCCCCGCTTCTTGACTCTTCACTGTGGTTTTTAACAGGAAACAGTTTTTTCTTCTTTTTGGTTGCCTTTTACTTGGTTCCTGCATACTCAGGAGGGCTGAAGATAAGATACAAAGATACACATTGCTTTGTTGCACAGGCTTGCCTAGGGGAGAGAGAGAGTGTGTGTGTGTGTGTGTGTGTGTGTGTGTGTGTGTGTAAAAGTGTGCTTGTTTCCTTGAATCATTTCCCACCATTGACCAGAGCTGGGCATCCAGCCTCTCAAACACCAAAGCAATGGAGAGTCCACCTCAGCCTGAGGCCCCGGTTGAGTAGGTCTTCCTATGAGGAAATGCCTCCTGATGTCCAGTCTCCTTCCATATAACTTCAACCCACGCAGTCTCAACCTGTCTTCGGATCGCCCCTCTTGCCCCGTGTTCTGCCCTTGAGCTGTTGAAGGCAGCTACGGGGTCTCTGGGGGGGGGCTTCTCTTCTCCATACCAAACACCGCCCAACTGGAGCCGGAGCTCCGGTCATCAAGATCACTCATGCAATGAATCTCTCCCCAGGCATTTCTGTTATTTTTGTTCCCATCCTCCTTTCTGTGGTCTGCAATTCTCAGAAATGAAGGGAGGCTCCAGGGTGCTTTGCATGGGTGGACTTTTGAGGACTCAGTCCAGCCTCCCTTCGGCTCCCTTCTCTTCTCTTCGGTACATCAACCCTGTGGCCTCTTGGCTGACGGTGAGGCCAGCTACTCTCCTGGAAGGTGGGGTGGGGGGTGGGGGAGGAAGGGATGGACCAGGATGGAGAGGCTTGAGAAAAGGCCAAGTCAGCAGAACAGATAAAAAATGTTTATGTGCTTCTTAACAAATTAACGTTGTGGGAGATCTTCTGACAAATTCCTTGTTTATTTCTCCAGAGAGCAGGGTGGGAGGTTGTGCTTATTTATCCCAGGACTGGCAGATAAAATTGGGAGAGATTATATAATCCCCCCACAGCCTTTCAATTTCTTGTTAAACTTCCTGTCTCTAATGGCAAAGAATAGTAAATCCACTGTGGCCACCGCCACCACCCTACAAATGTCTGAAAGGTCCCAGGGCAGAAGCCAAGGTCTCCCCCTCTCTCTGCTCCTCTCCTAGCCTGGACGGAAGGGCTGGACTGGTGCAATGCCGGCTGGGTCATGGAGGGGAGTGTGCACTACCCCATCCGCAACTCCCGCAAGCCCTGCGGGGGTCTTCTTCTTCGGCCCGGAGTCCGAACTTATGGCCCCAAGGACAAGCTGAAAGATCGCTTTGATGCCTTCTGCTTCACCTCAAGTGTGCAAGGTAGGTGGAGACAGGCCAGGGGAGCCATCGGTAGGTCCCGTTTCCGAGGCCCAGATTGGGTGCAGCTTCTTTTCCCACATTCTGGAAGGGACCCAGAAGAGTCCAGTTTCTCGGACCTCTCCCGTGAAGGATGGCTGTGGTGTGGATGAGTCAAACCTAATGGCAACTTCCAGACTTGCAACTGGTGCACGAAGCAGAGAGAGGCAGGCCCATCACTGCCCATACCACTTCATTCTGGACTGAAGCTTCCAGATGGTCTTCAAGGGAAGCCCTATGTAGAGCATGTTTCAGTAGTCAAACTGCAAGATGACCAGGGTGTGAGTAATTGTCTGAAAGGCCGCCTGATCCAGGAAAGGGCAAAACTGATGTACCAGATGAAGCTACGCAAAGGCTTCTGGCCAGGGCTGCCACCTGCTCTTTGAGCAACAGGAAGACCTCAGCTTGTGACCCCTTATGAATGGGGAAGGGCTGCCCTACCCGAGGTTAGGAATGGAGCCTTGCCCCAGATCACATTGCTAAAAATTATCCCACGCCAAATAAACACAAGCCCCTCCTCCTCGCCCCTTCCCCGCCCTCCTTGTCTTGCTGGGTGGAAAGGTTGCCTCTCATTGAGCATGCAAGGCTTCGGCTTACTGCCCAGCAGGTGGATTTTGGAACGCAGGCCTTGTAGCTTCATCACCCAATTAATTTTAGTAGAAACGCACCCCATTACTGCTGATCTCACTCCATTCTGGTTTGGAATGGGCTGTGAAACTGTCTTCCCAACTCTTGCTCTCTTGTCACCCCTTTTTTTTTCTTTCCCTCTCCCTCCCTCCCTCACCCAGGTCGTGTCTATTTCATCAGGGGCCACTTCCACTTCAAAGAGGGCATGCAAGCCTGCCGCAACGATGGAGCTACCTTTGCCAAGGTTGGGCAGCTCTATGCGGCCTGGAGATTCTCCCAGCTGGATCGCTGCAACGGAGGATGGCTGGAGGACGGCAGCGTGCGCTTCCCCATCACTGCTCCCCGCCCACACTGCGGGGGGCTCCCAGACCCTGGCGTCCGTAGCTTTGGCTTCCCCAGCAAGCTCCGGAAGAAATATGGCGTCTACTGCTTCTCTGTGAAGTAGGAGGGGCAAAAGCCCCAGGCAGAGGCGGCCGTGGCTGAAAGCAACGACCCAGCCCAAGGAGGCCAACATCGGTCGTCTTTCTCTGGTCAAAATTCATCTGGACTCCTTGACGGGGACTTTCCTCTATCCCTCCCTGGAATCAGAGACGGCATTGATGGTCCAGCCTAGGGTGGCTTTGACCAAACACCCACCAGGCTGACTACAGAGTATGGGAATGGCTTTGTAAAGGCCTCCGTCCCCTCTGATATCCTGGGAAATTACTGCAGTATTTGAGGTCTTACTAGTAAAATTGTTCACCCCTTTGCTTTTGTTCCACACCGCAATCCCTTAATGTAAGAAATGCTGCCTGGACATTGCTAAGAAAAAAAAAAATGACAGCCCAGTCAAAGATACAGAGCAATGTGTATACTTCAATGCCCTTAACAAACTAGGTTACCAGCTCATATTTCTCCATTGAAATAGGGAATTTCTTGGTTTCACTGATATTATTTAATTTAAAAAGTTATAATAGAAATATTATAATGTGTTATTTTGTCTTCTGTATTACACTTTTTACGGACATTCTGTTTGCAAAGGGGATAAAGGATACAACATGGTGCAATAAACTGTCTGTGATGCAATAAGATAAACAATCATTAACAATAACCAACAAGATTTAGCCAAAGGGCATGATCCTGATAATTGGGCCAAAATCGGTGGTGGGATTCAGCCAGTTCGCACCACTTCGGCAGAACCAGTAGCTATTTTTTTTGGTTACCCAGGCCTAGAATGGGCTTCCGGAAATGGCATCCACACAGAGAACCGGTTGTTCTCATATTTGAATCCAAAATATTCCTAATCCAAAATATTTGAATCCAAAATATTCAGAAAACCAGAATTCAGTGGATTGCAAAAGGTGAAGAGAGAATCCCTCCAACTCAGTGGCCACGAATGAATCGGGTGGTCTTGAGCCAGTCACCAGCCCCCCGCTTTGTGGATCAGAGGCATCCCAGAGACAGAGTCCCCTCAAGATGGCCAGCCGGAGAATGAGGATGCTCCCCACCACTCATTCTACTTGGTGTGAGTGTGTGTGTATGTGTGTGTGTGTGTGTGTGTTTGTGCAAAGCTCTTGAGGAGAGTGTGTGTGTGTGCAAATAGTTAGCTATAAGATGAGAAGGGCAGCCCCCAAGTGGGGTGGGGGAAAGGACACCCTTTAAAACCACGTTTAAAGAGCCATTTAGTTATTAGATTATCTTTATATGTACACATATAATAATGTAAAAAAAATGAGTAAGAGCAGAAGGCACCAGATTCTCCTCCCTCTGTACTAGATCACAAATCTTAAAAACCTCTTTTAGTTTGCCCTGTGATCTTGGAGCGGGGGGGGGGAGAGGGAGGGCACATCACTCACAGCAGGAGAATTAGGGAGAGGAGGGCAAAGCAGCCCCTGACACACACACGTTCCCCTTTCTCATGTTCTCAGTGGAAAGAGGCTTGCCCCTCCCTCCCTCCCTCCCTCCCTCCCTGCTGCCCGAGGGACCCCCTCCCCTGCCTCTCAGTTCCCAGGGCAATGAGGGTCTGCACTCAGGAGCCCCTTCCCCCAAGGCCCGTCCTGCTCTGGCACCCAGGACTCCATGCCCCCCTTCCCCCAGAGACACCCCCAGCTGTCCAATGTTCCCCAGGGCAGGGGCAGCCGGCCTCTAGGACTCCCCGGGGCTGCAGGCGAATTGTGGCTGCTGCCACTGGCCGTTCTCCTGGCAGCGGATGAGCGGCTGGCGGCGCTGAGCGAAGCCTTCCGGGCACCAGTATCGGAGGACAGAATTGACTTCGTAATGCTGCTTTGGTTTGCCAAATATCTGCGCGTTGGCCACTTTGGGAGGGGAGCTGCAAGAGACTGGGGAGAAAAGTCCACGGGTCAGTTGTGTCCCCTGCTCGGTAGCTGGTCCAGGGAGGGGGGAATGGCCAGTATTTGGGTGCAGCCGGGGGGAGGGCTGGCATTGGATCATTGGTGCCAAATTGCCCTTAACAGGTGTCCAAAGAAGCCTCAGCTGGAGGGGGATGACAAGGTCCAGACAAGGTGTCTGAAGGACCCCCTCCGCACAGCCCCAGGGCCTCTTGCCACACGCGGAGACCCTGGGTTTCTGTTCAGACAGACACTGTCCGGCTTCCAGTGCCCAAAGAATCAGTCAGGGGCCCTTCTGGGCTGACACTCATCCTAGTGTCTGGACCACAGCCTCTCCCCCCTCCCCCCTCCGATGATCTTCCCTGCCAGGCAAGAAAGGTAAGTCACACCCAAAGCCTCTTCAGGTGGGTGGAAAATGACGAGCTTCGATGCCCAGCCCGAACTCTTTTCCCAGCCAGTTGCTTTGCCCTTAGCTTACCCTTTCCAAGGGTCCTAGGAAGGAAACCCGGAGGGGGTCTCGCTCTGGGGAAGAGGGCTTCTCTCCTTGGATACTCACTCAGCCCCATTTTGCAGGTGAAGGGCAGATGGTAGCCACAGGGCACGTCGCTCCACTTCCCATCCTTTCGCCAGGACATGCCCACGCAGTTCTCCCCGTAGAGGAAATGGCTGTCAGGCTGCCCGTCCTGCCAGCTCTCATACAGCTTCCAGAGCAGGCAGAGAAAGAGAGAGGTCAACCACTCCGCTCTGGGCTGCTCCTGCGGGCAAGGCTGGCGAAGGGCTGCCCAGGATGCTCAGCTCATGCAGGGATGGATGGATGGATGGATAGAGGGAGGGAGGGAGGGGGAGGGACGTTTCTTATTTCTAGCCTGGAAGGGTTGGGCTGCTCTGATCTGTGACATCATCCCCTGTGGGGGAAGCCATTTTTCTTAAAATCTGCTGCTTTCTACCTTGAATTGCCTGATAGCTACAGCCGGCTTCAGTGGACAGGGCAGGCTGTACGAGTCTGCCTTTTTGCTTGGTCTGCTAGTCAATGTGAAGGATAAGCACACTTAGGATGGGACACAATGGACAGATATCTCGGGCTCCAGTTCAGCCCATACAAGGGACCGCTAAGGCATCACAGGCACAGAGATGAAAAGCCCTTCCCCCTGTGCCTTGGGAGACCCCACCCGTGGGCTTTTTCTCCATCCTAATGGCCTCCCTTGCACGGACCAATGCTTGACCTTACCAAGACTGAGTTCTGCAGAGGTCAGTAAACGCCCCCCCCTCCCCGTCGCCCCTTCTCCTTCAGCTCGGGGAGCTTTCCAAGCTCCACTTACCAGAGGACTCCCGTCAGACCACTGGAAGTCCCCTTCGATCGTGCGGTCATTCAGGCCGATCCACTGGTATTCCTTGTACTGACCTGGAATCGAGGGATGGGAAAGCGCCCTTCAGACAAGGGAGGGGTGCAACAAGAGCACCCTGGCCACGAAAGCTTTCTTCCCTCCTGGGGCCCCCACCGCACAGGCGGAGAGGCCAAGAGGCCGGGAAGGTGAGGAAGGTGGTCCTCGGTGAAGGGGACACGGCCAATGCCTCCGAGGGCTGCGGCTTCCACCCACAGCCAGCTGGCACAGGTGTGCTCAGGCGGCCACAAGAGGGAGAACTGGACAATCCCCACCAGCCCTGAAGCTCCAAACTGACCCCACTTCCAAGACCAAGACCCCTACTGTTGATGAAGCTCTGCTCCTCCGGAGACATGATGTTGGCCAGGTGGCCCCCATGCTCCCTGCACTGGGTCTCGGAGTCCTCCCAGCTCCTCCGGGCAGAAAAGTGCTTGTAGCAGAATGCTTGGAAGGCGTCCCAGCCGGGCTGGCACTTCCTCAGGCCTGGAGAGAGAAACAGAAGCCGCGACGAATCCTGCGGCCTCCGATTTGGGTGGAAGGACGTTTGTCTTGAAAGGAGGAGGAACGGCCGGCCGGGGCGGCCGTGAACTGGATGCCCCCTCCCGCCCTCTTGCGCAGCTTCCCCCGGGAGGGTGGCTGGCAGGGCCTTTTGGGCAAGAGGGAAAAGGGGCTCTTCCTTCTGGATGTCTCCCTTCCCCTCCGGTTCAATGAGAGGCGTCCCTTGAGGCCATCGGCTGCTTGCTCAACCCTGACAGAAGCCCTGTCTCTGCGCCCCCCGGCAGACCCTTTGCCAGCTTCCCTGTGGGCCTGGTAAGGCGCTCTGTGCCCCATCTACTCACTGACGTCGCAGGCATCCCCTCCGTATCCCGGCAGGCAGAGGCACCCTGGGCGCCCACTTTCTTCCGTGCAGGTCCCTCCGTTCCTGCAGGGGTTTGGCATGCAGGCGTCTGAAAGCAGATGGGCATGGGAGTGGGGTCACCCCAGAAGGCCTCGAGAGAGGCCCCAATCCGCCCCCTTCCCCTCGCATAGCAGAGGAAAATCAACTTCTTGTCGTTCTGACACACTGGGCCTTGGGGGGGGGGAGGAAGGGGGTCAGGAGGTGATCAGAAGGGGCAGAGAAACAGTCCAGATAGAATTAGTATAAGATGGCTGGGTCCATACAACCACACTTCAACACTCAGGCTAAGAAAACACCATGGGCTGTGAAACACATCTGGGTATCAGATAAGGCGAGCCCCATTTTTGTGCGATAGGTGTGTTCACACCACAGGCTTAGCCTGCTGGTTACTGAAGGGATCCATTTTCTGAACTTGGGCAATTGAGCAGAACCATGAATTAAGGTTTCCTGCAACACTTTAAGCCACAACATACCCAAGCCAGTTAACGCTGAGCCAGCTTCACACCTGACTGCTAAGACAAAGACTAGGCGATGAGGCCGTTGTAGTTTATCCTGGGCAAATGCGTGGTGTAAATGCAGCCGCATTGCCTTGAGCAGTGGTTCTCAACCTTTTTAATGCCGCGACCCCAACCGGTCGTAAGTCGAGGACTAAATTGGTCGTAAGTCGAGGACTAAATCGGTCGTAAGTCGAGGACTTTCCCTGCCCGGGAGGGCCGCACATGCGTGGTTCCGCCCCCTGCGCCGGCCGAGGCGTAGCTGGCAAGTGGCAGAGACGGAGCAGGCCAACCACCAGCTGGCCCAGCCCAAGGGAGGTAAGGCACCCGCCGGAAAAGGGAAAAAAATGGCAGACAAAAAAAATGGCGGGCAAAAAAATGGCGGACAGCCTTGCTTGGCGACCCCCGTGAAATGGTCGATCGACCCCAAATGGGGTCCCGACCCACAGGTTGAGAACCACTGGCCTTGAGGGTTTTTTTCCCGTTTGCCAAACAATTGCAACTGATGTGGCCAAGAGGAGTGAAGAAGGTGGAAGGCAACCCTCGGGAGGGCGGCCTCTCCAGATGCCCCCAGTTGCTGGGGAGGGAGACCCTGGCTGCCTCGGGGGACTCACCTGGATCAGCTATAGCCCAGGGCTCTCCAGTGTGGCTGAGCGGAGCCAGAAGCAGCCTCTCCCGTTTGGGGGGGCTCCTTGCTTCCCGCTTGCTTGTGGGGGGGGGGGTCAGGGCATACCATTTCTAATCACAGGCAATCAACCACAGCCACACCTTCCTTCCCTTTGCAGACTTCCCCCCCCTCCTTCTCGCCTTCTTTGCCCCCAGTCAGCAAGGATGGGCAGGAAACTCAGCAAGAGGCTGGGGTGGGGTGGGGTGGGGGGGTGGGGAATGCTGCAAAGATGCTTCCTTCAGCCCAGGATCTGGGGCCGGAGGGCTGGTTTGGTCACTCCTTCACTCCTTGAAAGGTGTGTGGCAGGTCAACAGCCCTGTTGGGCAGTGGTAGGTGGTCCAAGTGTCGGGAATGCCTGCAAAGTCCTCCTTCCCTTTCCTCTCTTGGAGGGGTTTTGTTCCATTTCGCCCCCTCCCTCCCTCCCTTCCTCCCAGATACCCCCATTTCCCTAGAACAAGCACCGTAGGGGAGAGGCTGAAGTTAGAAAGGAATGAAGGGCCTCACACCAAGTTCCGGAGGTGGAGCTGGTCACACTCCAAGAAATGCAAAAGCCCTGGGGGGGCCCCCTCCATCTCCCCCCCTTGGCTGCCCTGACCCTCCGTGTCTGGTTCTCCCCTGCACAGGCAGGCTGCCTTTGGGACGCCAAGGGCACCTGGCCCGGCAGCCGAGTCAGACCGGAGGAAGTGCCCTAAAAGGCCTTGCACGCTTCGGCTGAGCCTGCCTCCTGTAAGGCAACCCAAGGACATCCCCTCTGGCTCAGCAGAAGCAAGGCATACCAAAGGAAATGGGGATGGGATTAATTAAAAAAAAAAAAACTAGACCTCCAGAAAAATGAACGCATTGAGAAAAGTTTGCCCTGCATACCAAACTATTCCTCCGAGAAGCTAATTTTCTACAGGCAGGGGGATTCAGGATGGAGCTGCTTGCATCTGTGTCACTGCTGCACTTGGGCCTGTAGCTGCTTCCTGAGCCGGCTGCCAACTCTGCTGCTGGTCCCACCACGGCAGCAGCCGCAGCAGCCTAATTTCTCCTGTGGAAACTGCCCTGTGTGGTTTTCCAGACTCCTGTAGCTGGCAACTGAATCGCCAATTTCTCTTGTGTTTAATTGAAAGCATTTTGAGATTTCTTAGGGAGGGAGGGAGGGAGGGAGGGAGGCAGGCAGGCAGGCAGGCAGGCAGGCAGGCAGGCAGGAAGGAAGGAAGGAAGGAAGGAAGGAAGGAAGGAAGGAAGGAAGGAAGGAAGGAAGGAAGGAAGGAAGGAAAAAACAGGCATCCCAGAGCTCCTACCTGATGGACAATACAGTATATTCTCGACAAGGAGCTCATCCTTGCTAATGTTGGGCTGGGGGCACCCCTGAAAAGTGGTTTGGGGAGGGTGTTTGCCGTTCTGAGAGGCCCTGGCTAAGGGGAGAATTCCGTCTCTGGCTACGGATGTGCCCCGTTTCCCAGTTGTCTGGGAAGAGAGGCAAGATAAAAAGATACATTTCCTGTGGCTGGTGCTGCAACCATTTTGCCAGAGGGAGAGGGA